AAAGCTGGCCCCCACGTCTCGCCCTGGGACTCGGGGCTGCAGTTCAGGGTGACCCCCGCAAGAGCGGGCCCTCCACCCCAGGCAGGCCCCAGGGTGACGCCCGGCCCCTCGCGGTGACGCCCGGCCCCTCGCGGTGACGCCCCGCCTCCCTTCGCCGCCTTAGGCTGCTCTGGCAGCCCGGGGGCTCAGGTCTCACTCGGGCACCAGGGAAGGCCAGGGGCGAGCCCACCTGCTCAGCCCGCACCCACACGTACTCGCGGCACCGCCCACTCTGCACCCGCCCCATGCCGACTCGCCCGCCCCAGCGGCACCCCGTCACCCCCTAACTCCACCCCCAGGTCCATCCCATCCTGGGCAGAGGGGCCAAGGCCCCTCCTCTGCGGTCCGCCCACCCAGGGCACACGCCGCGGCACCCTCCAGTGGCCCGCAGAGGCTGATCTGGGGATCCCCACCCCTGGGAAGCAGAGGCCGTGGGTGCCCCTCCACAGGTCTGGGGTGCCCGGCCTAGGACGCGCAGAACAAGACAGCACTGAGGTGGGTTGGGGTGCGGGCAGAGACCTCAGGGAGGTTGCCGCCCGCCGGCCGCCTCCTGCCCGCTGTGGCCTCTCCTTCCGCTGGCCCAGCCCGTGGCCGCTCCCCCGCGGCCGATGCCCGCCGGGAGGATGGCTGTGGAGGCCTGGGCCGAGGGCACGGGCCCCCTCTGCAGGCCCCTGGCCCCACGGAGCACAGTCCCTGGCCTGCGGCCCTGTCTCGGGCTCGGTCCCCGCCGTGAGGGCCCTGGTCCTCGGACCCCAGGGCCCTGTACCGAGGCCTGCATGCTCACCCTGGTCTGCCCCTGCTGTGGGGGACCCCACCCCTCCAGCCGTGTCAGGCGGGCCTCGGCCTGTGTCCCAGAAACTCCTCGGAGGCCCACCCACACCCCAAAGTTTTCCCTACGTGGAGTGTCTCCAGCCCCCTCTGGCCCCTCCCTTGCGAGGCCCAGGCCTCAGCTCAGGCGCCCCTGCCAGAGAAGGGCGGGAACCCCATCTCTGTGAGCAGTTCTTGGGTCTGGTCCTGGGGGCCACACGGAGCTAAGGCCCAAGGAGGCTCTGCTGCTCCGGGGATGCCCCCAGGCCACTTGGGGGCCCCAGGGCCCCTCCGTGGGCGCCGGTGGTCAGCCCTCCCCAGGCCGTGCAGCTTTCCGGCCCACCGAATTACCATCTGTCTCTGGGGCAGGCAGGGACGGCCCCCCTCCAGCCTCACCCACAAACACCCAGCAGCACAGGCCCCTGTGGCGGGCACCCCACCGTGGCCAGGGACCCGGTGCCCCCGCCTCTGTGCTGTGGCCCCTCTGAGGGCAACTGAGGACCCAAGGCTGCCCCAGGAGTCACATCTCACGTTCCTGCATGGGCTCCAAGCTGCAGCCCCCCGGGACCCCCCCCCAGTGCCCGCAAGGTCCCTGGCAGCCCCACCCCCTCTCCGGGGAGCGCCTCCCACAGCGGCCCCCCAGCCTGCTCGCTGCCCGGGGTGCAGGCCCCAGGGTACCTCTGCCGCCCCGCCGCTGGCAAGGGGGGGTCTGGCTCACACCCCCCAGGCCTCTGAGGGCGGCACGGGCGCCGCTGACCAGGCCAGGCCAGAGGATGGTGCCGGGCGCGGCAGGGCACCCTGGCTGCCTCCTGGCTTGGTGCCTGCCCACCCGCCCACCCCAGGCCGGAGACCCCCGTGGGGCTCTGGCAGCGCTGGGGGACGCCTGGGCCGGGCCGGCTGAGGGGCGCGCTTCCCCCAGGACCCTCCTTCGGAGCGGCGCCGAAGCACAGGTGTCACAGACCTGCGGGTCTCCAGAGCCTTCTTCCCAGCCGGCCCTCCGCGGGGGGCCTCTCTGGCGGGGGTCCTCAGGCTCCTCCAGGGCCTCACGCCCGGCAGCCGGCCCGCCGTGTCCCCCGTGGCCGCGCTTGGGTGACGGATCTGGGCTGGCCACAGAGGCCTGCTCCAGTGCGTTCAGTTCTGGGGCGCGCTCAGAAGTGGGGGTGCCGGGCTGCGTGGCCACCCCAGGTTTGCCTTCTGGGCTCCCCTCCCGCACCCCTGCAGCGCCTCAGCAGAGGGCCCACGGGGGTCCCACCGCGACCCCACCCGCGCTCCCC